TTTGTACATTGACGCTTAAACAAATTCTACAAATTTCACTAAAGGCCATTTCGATATCCTGTAGTTTAAAATTGTTTTTATAACCGAATTATACCGAAGTTTTTCTAAGGTTATGTTCCGAAATACAACGCAGTGTACTGTCCAATGCAAATGACGTCATCATTTGACAGTTTGACACTTTATTGTACTAGCGTGCCGCCGCCATATTGTGTCGGATATCCGGCCATAATAAAACAATTTTTAATTGTGTGTTTGCCGAATAAAGCATGCCAGAATTTGTTTCTATTTATTCAAATACCAAAAATTATATAATAATTGATGGTATATCCACTAGGAGGATATAATGATTTTTAGAGCACAAAATGACAAAATAATCGCCAACACTTTTCCAAATGGCACAAAAGTATGACGTCTGTCCAATGTTTTGGATCAAATACTGTCCAATGTTTTGGAACGAATCACCAGTATAGCGTCGATTCATGACGTCATTTGCATTGGACAGTACATTGCATTGGGTGCGTTTGGCAGAAAAAAGCGCTAGCAAGCGCTTACTAGCGCTAAAATAGTTTTCGGCCAGGACACGATTGCTACTTCAGTAACGCTGACACAATCCGCCATTTTGCTTATTTAATTTGTTTGTTTTGAAGTAGAGTTTATAAGATGTTTTTTGCAATATTAGTTTTAAGTAATATAATGACATGAATAGACATATACATGTTATTAAAAATTCATGATTGGTAAGTTTTTAATATGAATACTTCACAAACATATATTTAAATTAGGTTAGGTTCCCCGGTTAAAACTAACATCGTGTCCTAGAGGAAAATAACTACTTACGATTTGACAGCGCTTACCGCTTACGATCGCCATTTTGCTTACTAGCGCTTGCTAGCGCTTTTTTCTGCCAAACGCACCCATTGTATTTCGGAACATACCCTAAATATTAGATTTTTTCTTTTCACTGGGTTTACGGCTCTGGGTTCTAACTAGAGGGCATACAGTAATGTTTATACAAAGGTACTCTGTGACAGTAATCTATGCGTCATAGAGTAGAGTAATATATACAGAAACTGTGCGTATACTGATACGAAATCTATATTAAATAGGTACAATATCTAAAAACCGCTTACTGGTTCGTTCCAAAACTATATTATATGAACATCTGATATTTGCGTACCGCCGCGAAACCTATATCGCTCCGCATCGGTCGTTGATTAGATCCGACGTGTGCGATAGAGTGCGTGCGATATGGGTACTAGATTAAACATGGCGAAGAATTAAAATCTTATATTTGTACACTACACTAAATAATAAAAACACAATTTCACTAAATCTTAATTAACTTCCCTAGTATTTATTATTCAAATTTTTTAAATAAATCCCTTGAAATATTTTGATAAAAATGTAAAATGAACAATACTACACTACTATAAAACAATACTAGAGACAATATCGTAACAACAAAGTACATAAAATGAACATCAAAAAACTACTGAATTCAGTCAACAGCGTTTGCAACACTTCAAAAAATTTAAGGGCTAACGATTAATTTTTTGATAATTTTCAACCACAAGTTCAGTATTAAATATTGTAAAATAAAGTTTAAATTTTAATGAAATAAATCAAAAGAATACATGTTTGTACTGATGTTTTTTAAAAAATATTTTGATTGGAATAAACTTTTTTTATAGGATAGGGGGTAAATGAGCATACCGCTCACCTGATGGTAAGTGATTACCGCCGCCCATGAACAGCTGCAACACCAAGGGGATTGCAGATGCGTTGTCGGCCTTTTAAAAAGGAACAGGCTCTTTTCTTGAAGGTCCCTAAGTCGTATCGGTCCGGAAAAATCTCTGGTGGTAGTTGATTCCACAAGGCAGTTGTGCGAGGAACAAAACTTCTTTTAAATCGCACGGTTGGACCACCAGTCAACCAGATGGTATAGATCCTATCGCGAGTTTTGTTTCGATGTGCAATGGTGAAACTGTGTGGCTGGTTAATCCGAACAATTCCTCAGAGGGGAGTACCCCGTGGAAGATGCGATAAAATACGCAAAGAAATGCAACATCTCTTCGCAGTGCCAGTGAGTCAAGCCGATCGGAAAGAGCTCGGTCGCCGACGATTCGAACTGCTCTGCGCTGGATGCGATCAAATGGAAGGAGCTGGCACTGGGGAGCCCCGGTCCAAAGATGGTAACAGAATTCCATGTGCGGCTGAACCTGCGCTCTGTAAAGTTGCAGGCGGTGAGCCGACATGAAATACTGTCCCGCTCTGCTGAGCACGCCAAACTTTTTAGAGGCCAATTTGGCCTTCGCTTCCAAGTGACCACGAAATTGCACGTCATTCGATATGTCGACGCCAAGGATTCCGATATTGGCTGAGGCAACAAGGGGAATGCCTTGAAACTGAGGAGATACGACAAAGAGGTTCTTTTTAGCGGTAAACGCGCAAATTTGTGTCTTCTGGGGATAAATTAAACTGGACTAGATTTAGTCGCCCCCAGTCCGAGATTTTGTTCAACAGTCTCGACTTCAGACACAAGTTTGTCCCGGTACTAGATGACGTTTTCCCGAGAAATATTGGCACGGCCGATGTATAAAGCATCACCAGTGCTGTCGTCTGCATAGCAATGATTGTTACCGGATTGCAACATGTCATTGATATACAGAAGAAACAGCGTTGGTGATAGCACGCAGCCTTTTGGCACACAAGTGTTAATGGGCTTGTAATTGGAGCATGCACCGTCTACTACGACCTTGATGCTCCGATCAGCAAGAAAACTGGCGATACAATTGCACAATTCGTCGGGAAGCCCATGGAAAGAGTTATGAGTTAGGTAATGAAGAAGATCACGAGCCGAGCGACCGCTTCGGAAACCGTACTGGCGGTCATCAGCTGGTGATCCTCAAGGTACCGCATAAGCTGGCTGTTAATAATAGAAACTTGCTTTGTAAGCCGTCATCTACTCCATTCTATGGATAAAGTCATTTTATCGAACGAATATTGATTAGTTCTCAAAGTGGTACGTAAAAATGACGCTAGATGGCATAAATGAGGATAGGTAAGAAGTCGATCGTGGATGATTTAGAATTTTAGAATAACAAACTAATAATAAGTGCTAGACAAAGATTTTTAAATTTTTAATGTAAGCGCTTTTGAATAAGCTGGAATATGATAATTTTATTCATTATAGTTAACTTTGTTATATTTACTTTTTATATTTTATCATATTTTTTAACTTTATTACATACTTACTTATCTTCACGCACAATCCCTAACGGGGTAGCCAGAGAGAACAGATCGCCAAGTGTCACGATCCTTACATACCTCTTTCGCTTCTTTCAGGTTCATTAACTTCTTCATACATGCACGTCTAGGTATCCGAGTACTCTTGACCTTCCCCTCTTCGAGCAATTTGCTCACATGGTCTTCGAAAGTTAGTCTCAGTCTACCTCGACACCTTTTAACATTTACTTTCACTCTATATATTTTCTTCACCATTCGGTCTTCACTCATTCGCTCAACGTGCCCAAACCATTGGAGTACGCCCCTATCAATTTTTGTGATAAGGTCATCTTTCAATCCTGCCATATTGCGAAGCTCTTCGTTTCGCTTTCGATTGGCTATGGTAACGCCACACATTTTACGAAGAGATCGCATCTCCACTGCATTCAACTTGCTTTTATGCTTCTTCTGGCGTACCCAGGTTTCACTGCCATATAACAAAGTCGGTACCAACACTGCGTTATGTATTGCAAGGCGTGAACTCTTTACCACGCCTTGCCTTTTGACTAATGCATTCAGGGCACCATTGACTTTGTTTCCGGCAGCGACACACCTATCCACATCTAAATCACATCTTCCATCCCGGCTGAAAGCGCTCCCCAAGTATACAATTTCATTTACCTGTTCTAGACATTCCTGATTTACCCATATTTCACATTTCGTTCTCTCTTCGTCCTTTTCAAATACCAAACTTTATTATATTTGATTTATTAACATTTATGTACCTACATAAATAATCAATATATATTTATAGGTAAAGCAAATTGTACTAAATTGACTTAACCGAAACCTAGTTTAAAACCATATTATAATAATAAATTTAAAACTAAATGATACTAATAGTTATTTTGCAACCATCCGCTAAATAAAATAAAATAATAATAAATAAAATATAATGGCGTAGGGAAGTGACGACCCCATCGCCCGCTGACGTAACGGTTATGTGACAAAACCACTACGTCAGCGCAGTCAGTCAGCACCTTGCCAAGAGGTGTTAGTGCCGTGCCTCGGCAAAAATTGAAGGGGCCGCTGCCTGGAGGTCGCCAGGGCGCGTCTGGAGCTGGCGCTGGACGCGACAGCATGCGAACCGCCAGCCGAGGTAGAGGTGCTGCACGACCACCCATCAGCCCCTCGCATCCATCATCCCCACCAGCTGGCTTGGTGTCGGCAGGGTCTTCGCGGGCCCAGCAATCGGCACCCGCCACTGGTGGAGTACGCCGCATGCGATGGACAATCGAAATGAATACTAACGCATTGCGGGCGTATTTTAGGGCGAAAGGGGGGAGAAGTTGGAGGTTTGGCGTATCGGGCTAGGATGCATCGCTTTTTTGCCGAGCTGAAACCATCTCTATCCGTCACTGAGCAAAATCTGGCAGACCGAGTTCGGTACATCCTGCGCTCCAACATATTTGGTGACGCCGAACTCGAACGACTACGACGTGAGGCTGTTCCCTTATCGAATGGAAATGCTACGGCTGGGAATGCGGCGCCACTAGATGCGCAGCAAACTGCATATGTGGATGCTGCCGTCACTATTCTATTTGTGGTTAATTCAAACGATGATGGAATAGTCTCCCATGAACTGGTGAAAATGAGTAGCATATTGGAAGAGTCGACGCTGGAAACGCGCAGCATGCCTCTCGAAAATCGACCGCGACTTCCCCCGCATTCCCCTTAGCAAGCGAAATCGGGCTGTCGTGTGGGCTCTTAACCCAATGCTCGTGACCTATTTGGAAACCAGCCGGGACCTTTGCGAGACAGACTCAATTCTTTTTGGCACCGCACTGGCAGTATGCCGTATTATTGGCGCCAAACTTCCCATGGCTGGACGTGCTACTCAACAAAGTAGCGCCATCCCAGCCTGGAGAAAAAGAATCGAGGACCGTATCGCCATGGCAAGGGCCCTTATCGGCAGACTCACAAGCTTTAGGTCGGGTAATAATAGACCGAGAGTTGTGCGCAACGTTAGAATGGCGTTTGCTGGGACAAATATTAGTTTGTCCCAGCCGGATATCACGCAGAAACTAACGGAGCGCATAGATGATCTGAAGCAAAAAATCGCTGCTTGGCGGAAGCGGATTCGACGATTTAGCGAGAGGTCAAGGCCGTTCAACCAGAATCGTCTCTTCCAGAGTGATCAGAAGAGGCTCTATAAATCATTGGAGCGACTAGAGATACTCTCACAGAATACCAGCGTGAAATAGTAGCTTAATGCTGCTGTATTTCGTATGGTGAGTGTAGAGAACCGGAGACCCGTTTTTACTGGAAACGAGGCATTCCATCTCAGTCCTCACGGGTGACAACGCATCTGCATTTTGATTTTTAATGGAGGATAGATGTAGATGTCTCTGGGCCGCAGCAACCACTTACCATCAGGTAGACTGTGTGCTCGTTTGTCACCCTATTCTATAAAAAAAAAAAAAAAAAACGTGGAGCGGGCCCAGGACCGGATCAGGCTGACACTGTCGCATTTTGGCGTGGCCTGTGGTCAGAGCCCGTAAACCACAGCGAGGGCCCTTGGATGGAAGTTGTGGCGAGCCAGAGTGCAAGTGTTACGCCTATGGTCCCCGTCACCATAGCGCCTGAAGACCTGGCTGAGGCGGTACGTAGGGCCCCGAACTGGAAAAGTTCGGGGCTCGACGGGCTGCATCATTACTGGCTGAAGGGGTTCGTAGTGTGTCACGCTGTGCTCGCTCGACAGTTTCAAGAGGCTCAGAAGTCGCTCCCGAGCCTCTTCACTACTGGGATCACTCACTTGGTTCCTAAAGATCAGGATACCACAGACCCGAGCAAATACCGCCCAATCACGTGTCTACCCACCATATATAAGACACTTACATCCATTTTGAGCGCGAGAATCACTCGTCCTGGAGCTGGAGCTAAATCAGGTGATGGCACGCGCTCAAAATGGATGTCGGGGCGGTAGTCGTGGAACCAAGGAACCACTCCTCATTGACGCGGTCATTGGCAAAGTGTGAAACGCAACCGCCGGAACTTCTCCGCCCCCTGGATAGACTACAGAAAGGCATCCGACTCTGTGCCCCATACATGGCTAAAGAGAGTCCTCCAGCTGTACAAGATTGACTGTACAGTTGGAGACTTCCTCGAACAGTGTATGGGGCAGTGGAGTACGATCCTTTGCTATCTGGGCGAGCGGATGATGGCTGCGGAGAACCACATAAGGATAAGAAGGGGTATCTTCCAGGGCGATTGTCTGAGTCCAATCTGGTTTTGCCTCTCTCTGAACCCTCTCAGTACTTTACTAGAGGGCTCCGGAAGGGGATTTCAGCTTCGGAAAGGAGGTACAAAAGTGACCCACGTTTTCTATATGGATGACCTCTAGTTATTCGCCTCCAGTCGCTCCCATCTTATGGAATTGCTAAACATCACTTGTGAATTTGGCAATTCTATTGGAATGGAGCTGGGGACGGATAAGTGTGTGGTGTGGTGAAAGGGGAAGGGTTGCTAACTCGGAGTGCATAGACTTATCTATGCCCGTCAACTTAAGGACCCTTTCTGAGGCTGAAACATACCGATACCTGGGTACGTCACAGAACATCGGTATCGATGAGGCTGGTATGAAACAGTCAGTTTGCGACGTGTTTTGTGCATGCTTGACCAAAGTGCTTAACAGCCTTTTGTCCGGTGTGAATAAGACACTCGCATATAACGGTTGGGTCATGCCTGTTCTCATGTATACCTTTGGCATACTCAGGTGTACTCAGACTGAACTTAACGCCCTGGATAGAAAAGTCCCGCACTACAATGACGTCCCATAGAATGCATCATCCGAGATCGTCGGTAATGAGGCTGTACTTGCCGCGAAAGCATGGTGGGCATGGCTTCTTGAGCGCGCTCACCATGCATAATCGCGAAGTGTGCAGCCTCCGTGATTACTTTCTGGCGAGATCGGATGATCCATTCTATAAGGACGTCATTTCTTGTGATAAAGGACTTACCCCTCTATCCTTAGCCAACGAGCAATGGCGAGACCCGGCAGTGCAGAGCATTTCCGACCGGGAGACCGTATGGAAGGAGAAGGAGCTCCACGGGAGGTTCTACAAGGCTTTATATATGTGCCTTTCGTAGACACAGTAACCTCCCTCCACTGGCTACGCTTTGGTAATCTCTTCGGGGAAACCGAGGGTTTTGTCTGTGCAATACAGGATCAGGTTATTAAGACCAACAACTATCGGAGATACATCCTAAAGGATGGCACCGTCGACATCCGTCAAGCTTGTAGCCATCCCGGTGAGTCACTTAGGCGTGTCATCTCCAGTTGTTCGGCGCTTTCTAACTCTGAGTACTTGCACAGGCACAACCTAGTAGCCAGAATTATTCACCAGGAGCTCGCTTTGATATACGGTCTCGTGGATCGGAAATTGCCGTATTACAAGTACTTGCCGGAAGCCTTGCTCGAAAATGACCGCGCCAGGCTCTATTGGGACCGGGCCACCATCGCAGACAGGACTATTCTTGCGAATAAGCCTGATATTGTGCTGATGGACCGGGCACAGTCAAGGATATTTTGGTTGACATTATCATTCCGTATGACGAGAACCTCTTGAAAGCCGAAACAGATAAGCAAACAAAATATCTGGACCTGGCTCACGAGGTGACCGACATGTGGGGTGGTCTGCCGACCGAAATTATTCCTGTAGTCGTCTCAGCAAACGGGCTAATTCCAGTCAGCCTCTCGGGTCATCTGAGGCGGCTGGGACTATGTGGCGGACCGCTCCAGGCTCAAATGCAGAAGGCGGTGCTCCTCGATACCGCCCGCATCGTCCGCCGGTTTCTTTCCCTTTCCCCCTAACCCTCGGCCGTTTGGTCTCCCCTGCCGAGGGCCTCTATCTGGTTGGACTTTTATTTATTTATGTATTTTTATATTTATTTTATGTTATTGATATTTATGTATATTTATCTTTTCATTTTCATTTATAATTATATACTTATAGAACCCAACCAGATGAGAAAACTATATTTATACCCCACATAATAAAATATAATAACATACATCCCAAAGGATGGCACTGTCGACGTTTGTCGAGCTTGTCGCCATCCCGGGGAGACACTTAGGCATCTCATCTCCGGTTGTTCGACGCTTTCTAACTCTGAGTACTTGCACAGGCACAACCTAGTAGCCAGAATTCTACACCAGGAGCTCGCTCTGAAATACGGTCTCGTGGACCGGAAATTGCCGTATTACAAGTACTTGCCGGAAGCCGTGCTCGAAAATAACCGCTCCAGGCTCTACTGGGACCGGGCCATCATCACAGACAGAACTATTCTTGCGAATAAGCCTGATATTGTGCTGATGGACCGGGCACAGTCAAGGATATTTTTGGTCGACATTATTATTCCGTATGACGAGAACCTCGTGAAAGCCGAAACAGATAAACGAACAAAATATCTGGACCTGGCTCACGAGGTGACCGAAATGTGGGGTGGTATGCCGGCCGAAATTATTTCTATAGTCGTCTCTGCGAATGGGCTAATCCCAATCAGCCTCTCGGGCCATCTGAGGCGACTGGGACTCCGTGACGGACCGCTCCGGGCTCAAATGCAGAAGGCGGTGCTCCTCAATACCGCCCGCATCGTCCGCCGGTTTCTTTCCCTATCCTCCTAACCCTCGGTCGTTTGGTCTCCCCTGCCGAGGGCTTCCATCTGGTTGGGCTTTTATTAATTTATGTATTTATTTTATTTTACATATATTTATGTATATTTATCTTTTCATTCTAATTTATAATTATATATTTATAGAACCGAACCAGATGAGATACTATATAAATACCTCAAATAATAATATAATAATAAACATTTATTTCTCCCAATTTTTACATAGTTACATTTGTTTCATAAATACTTTAAGAGTTTTGAGTAGCTGTGGGAGACAGGAGCCCAAACTAGGTTATCCTGTGCTATGGGTCTCCTGGCTTTATTACATACTTTTCGATGATAATGTACTTAGACATGAAGTGAGCGTTGCATGTGGAGATCGAATATGAGATTTCCAAAGTGCAATTTACAATAAAAGTCACATAGAATAAATACGTATGTGTGCGTGTGTTTCTATCTCACTAGTCCGCTTTTACAGTAAATTCTCTGTTTCTTCGTAATCTAATTTCAGTAGTTACGTTGTACCAGTTCTGGCGCACTGAGTCAGAAGTGGTACAAGAGTAGTTACGTTGTACCAGTTCTGGCGCACTGAGTCAGAAGTGGCACAAGAGTAGTTACGTTGTACCAGTTCTGGCTCACAGAACGTACGACGTTCGTCGACTCACGATCCTAAAAAAAAAATAAAAAAAAAGGTTTTGGCATGCTCTGATCACGAATCTGCGGTCCATTTTTAAAATATCGTTGTACAATGTGTTCCCTGTAAATATACTCGTAAAACTATGCATTGAACATCCCTGAAACTTATATAGCTAATACATTAAGCAATATTCGCCACAAACTGAAGTCCACTCATTCTGAATCCTATCAACATTCCAGTTCCATCTTTTACAATTCCTTTTTAAAAGCTCTAGATGATATCGTACAGGTGCCCGTCCGAATGAATCAAAATATTGACCGAGGCCATTCGTATCGATATATAAAGCCACCCAATGTGACCCTGGTTTATCATCTGTATCCAAATTGCATATTGTTACGCGCTCCAATGCCTCAAATCGGCGCACTAGCGCCATCTAGTCTCGAACCGAAGAACTAAACTTCTTGAAGTTTAAAACTCGAACTCTCGGTACCTTGCGCGTGTTTACTTGAACATTCTGGATATTTTGCTAATTTATATAAGTAGGCGCTGCAAGATGCGAGGAGGCAGAGTTGAACTCGGCGACACAAGCGAAGCTTCGGAGCGGAATTAAGTGAATTAGTGTCTTTAATTATTAGTGTTTTTAGTTTTAATTTGTGTAAAGTAAATTAAAGTGTTAATTTAGGTAATTTTATCGGCAATTTTTATTGTCACGAACCTCAAGCTCGTAACAATTGGTGTCAGAAGTGGGATAAAATAATGCCGATTTTACCTAAGGAGGAAACGGAGGGTGTCCGTACCCGAAGTCAACGCCAGCAGGAGACGGACCAACGAAGATTTGGTGGTGCAACGCCGCAGACGTCGGAGGGCCAGCCACCGGCTGCAGGCCCGTCGGTAGCTCCTACATCTGCAGCACCTGACTTAGGTGCGCCTGATGGTGATGCTGCAGGAGCA